TAGATGATTTCATGGTTGTAAATTAATTTACTAAACAAACGAGCTGCGAAACTAAGACCTGTTGCCGGATGGGGAAGGATGTAGGAACGGATATAGGAACGGATGTCGCCAGAGAGAGTGAAAGATGGAGATGGAATGAGTTGCGATTTAAGAATTTAGGTTGAGTTGTTGCTGCTGCGTAGATATATACCCAAAAAATTTGTGTTGCGAAACTAAAACCTGTTGCGAACTTTGAAAATCGCATTGCGATTCTGTATTATCTCGTTGCGAAAGTCAGAATCGCGTTGCGAAAGTCAGTATCGCGTTGCGAAAGTCAGTATCGCGTTGCGATTTTGTATTATCGCGTTGCGATAGTCAGTATCGCATTGCGATTTTCCCAATTCGCGTTGCGATTTACTTATTCGCATTGCGAATTGAGAAAATCGCAATGACACTGTAGACTATCGCAACGCGAAATGCAACGCGAATTTGCGATAATGGAGATCGCGTTGCGAATTAGCGATCGCATTGCGATTTTGTTAGTCATTTTGGCAAATCCGGAAAAAGTTGGTTAAAATCGTATATTATAAGGCATTTTTAGTCACTGAGACGATTTTCTCTTTTTTATTATCTCATATCAACTTTTGATTAAAGAATTGTAAGAAATTAAGGATGAACAGTTAATCTTAGGTCAATTTTTTCATCCTAAACTCAACTCTACTTCATACCTTCAAAAAAACTCAACTAGAATTTAATTTTTTAAATAAAATGACTCGATCAGATCAAGTCATTTCAAAACTTGTTAATTTCGGATTAAATGTTCATCCTTAATTGACATATTATTTTTAAATTTGATAATTGATCTTTAGTAAAATGTAAATAAAAATATTTAAATTTAGATGAATATTTATAAAATATTTAGTAATAGATTTTTAATCATCTATAAATATTTCATTCGTCGAGAAATTCGATTAGATCAGCAACTAAAATTAGATACTACTTAGATTCATTATAAGAGTTATTCTCCTAATTTAATTTTCTCCATTCATAATGTTAGAATTAAAATATATAATATTATTTAAAGAATCCAACTCCTCGTCTTGTTAGACCACATTATAGTTAATCCCGCAACAAGTTTAAATCACACTCTTATACCAAAACTTAAAAAATATTTTTTCCCGAATAGTACATTTTAATATATAATAAAAATAAATAAAGCCTAAGACTCGATCAACAATTATGAAATTAAATCAAATAAAACAAGTAAATATAATTTATTAACAATAAAATGTATGGTAGATAGGAAAAGATTAGAAGTGTTATGGTCTGAGAGTAAACTAAAATATCTTTGAATTAACTCAATAACTCACGTTTATTATTTAAATATACTATTTTTATTTATACAATGAAATAACATATTATAATATTATCAAACAATAATTTCTGTTGGATCGATACCAAAGGAGTGAAAAGTTTGAGATAGTCCCTTCTAATAATATCATCTTCAAGATTTATTTTAGATTTGGTATTTAAATTTTGAGATTATTATTTTTAATAACATCTTTAAGACTTAATTTATTATTGAACTTTTTAATAATATCATCTTTGAGTTTAAGATCGATCCGATCCGACATGAATTTAAGAAAGACCCACCTAGTTCGATTTTCGAGATATAAACATATATTTGGTCATACATAGATATATAAATAAAAAAATTATTAGGTAAAATATGGAGTTAATTAAAGAAATATAGAGAACGGAATTATTACGATTATTTCTAAATATATGAAAAAATAATTATATTATTATCTCGGGTGAAATCAGATGAGGGAATTTTTCACCTTAAATTCAACTTCAACTCGACCTGATCTTATCTTTAAAAAGTTCAACTCGATCTAATTCAAAATTGATTTTCTTTTTTAAAAACTAATTTTATAAGATTGGATTGAATTGGAATTAGTAGAGAATCCAAAATATTTTTTAGGGTGGACACATATATATTAACAACACAACATTTATGAATGGGGTGGTCACAAATGAAATTTCATGATAGACACCATCAGTAAAATGAATAACCAATCGAAAATACTCGAAAGTCAGGTGAGCACTATGAGCAATGGATTTTAGTAATTGGGTAATATAATATATGTTGAATTATATATATTATGTAAATAAATAGTACATTGGTCCAATGATATGAATATTGAATGGGTGTTGTTGAAAAACGAGGGCAGTTGGGGATGTATTAGTGAATACATAATCCTCATATGCATTGTCCCTTTACTTTCAGGCACATCATATGGCCTTCAATAAATTATTATTATTATTATTATTATCTTCTTCTTCTTCTTCTTCTTCTTCTTTACTTACATACATATATATAAACGTTCTTAGTAAAATGCATATAAAAGCAATCAAATTATTTTAATGCAATTTTAAAATTTCTTATGTAACTATTATTCGTTTAATTTAATCCTTATATGTCGTATTTTATTTCTATAGTTGATTCGTATAAATTATAAAAAAATGAAAATATTTAAGTATTTATTTAATATTTTTAAAAATTAACCCTAAACATTTACTAACATGATAAACATATTAGATTAATTTGAAATTTTGTATGTGCAATTATATATATTAAAATAATCATAAATAAACGAAAGTGATTGTAAAAAATTAAAACTCGTAGATTTAATAAAAAAATCTCATGTTTACCTATAAAATCTTTAAAAAAACCACATACAAAAGAGAAACAATAATCACTATAATCGGCAACAAATTATCAGAGAATTATACAAATGTATATCAGATCATGAAATCCTAGTTTATATATATATATATATATATATAATAGTATTAAGGGAGACCCTAATCTAATTAAATTACACTATTTCATGAGAATTTTACTTTTGCACTCTTAACGAGATTTGTGGTGGACATAAATCTTTATTTTTCTCTCAATTTATTTTTCACCAAATATAATAAATTACAATTTTTTAAATTAGATCAAAACGTTATTTATATTGACACGAGGCTAGATTGTTGGCTAGCTGGTCCGTGCGACTTTTAGATGCCTCGCTTGACTTCTAAGGCAGAATAAATTCCTCTGTTGATGTTGTTGTGGCGTTAACCACAATGGAGAAACATTGAAAACGTATGTGGGTAAATTTTTTGCACGAATACATGAGTTTATTCACAGAAAACTCTCTATGTTCAATGGAGGTGGAGAGGCCTCCTTTTATAATGAAGTCCACGTATATTCAATGACTACTCCTAGTTTAATTACAAGTAAAACTCTTTTTTAGTTAAAACTCTCATATTTGAGTCCTTTCCAAACAAGGACAATGCTACTCGGCTTATTTTCTAAGTAATGATTGGCCTTGCTAGGTGGACAACCCTAAGTCGGTGCTGGCCTCGACCATGTGTGTTCCCGATGTGCACTACCCTCGCCCCTAAGTGGCCCTTTTTGTGCGCTCATCTCAGTTTTAACCACACACCTACTGTGTGTTGGCCCTGACCCCTAGTGTGTCCCGTTGTGTGCTAGCTAGAGCCCTCGACATACCTTAACATGCTTCGTCCTCAGCCCTAGGCACTCCCTGGTGTGCGACGGTCACGACCCTAGGTGCCCCCTGGTGTGCGGTGGCCTCGACCCTAGGCGACTCTTGGTGTGCGACGACTTCGGCCCTAGGCGGTCTTGGACGTGAGTAGGTTGTGCTTGTGGGTAGTTTGGGGTGGGAGTGTCTTGGCCTTGTGCGGCGCTATGTACACCTTTGTCTCGGTGTGGTCCTCGTGAGCCGCCTGGGACGCGTCTGTCGCACCCTAGTGGGTGTTGGTCTCGGCACCACAGTGAGAGCGACCTGTCTTGTACTGGTCGCGACCCCATGGATAGTCTGGTGTGGGCCGACCTCGGCCACAAGTTTGCTGCCAATGACAATATCATCAATTATATTTGTATATAAAATTTTATGAAATAAAAAATATCTCTTTATGTATTTCAGAATAAAAATATTCAATAATTTGATGAACATTATATTTAAATTTGAACAAAAAGAAAATGTATCTAAAGACTATAAGATCTATTAAACTATAAATGTCTAAGTACATCAACAACAATGATTGGTGCATTTAACAATTATATACTGAGGAAAAATACCTTATCTTTAACTCATTAAATTCAACGACTATCTTCGTTTTGCGTTGATTTTAAGTTACGTAAATCGTTTATTTGTATATATTTGTTATTTTATAAATATATTTAAAATGTTTTATATTTATAATAAATTTGATAAGTTATAATTTGTATCATATATAATTTTACATATTCACATACTTGTATTATATTTTTCTTATTATATTATATTATAATCATCTTTCTAATCTATATTATCAAATTGTTCTAGTTATATCTCAAATTCTATGTGTCATATAATTTAAGTTATTTTTATATGTATAAAATATATAGATACTCTTATGGTATATTAGTTTTGTGTTTAAAATTAAAAAAAAAAGTTTAAATTCCTGAATCAGGACATACTTAAGACTTAATTAGAATTTACACATAAATTTACAGATTACCCACAAAAAAATGACGGTAGTAAGTTCGAACTTTATCTTACAAGCTCAAATTCTTGAATCTCAATCACTTATGCCAACGCTCATTAGCTTGGTGCCGTTGTTTTAAGTTCTGGTCTTGAGTTTTCTAATATTCGTATTTATTATTACAAAACTTCAACAATGTTACATATGTAAATTCATGACTAATGTTTTTATTGTGTAATCGTACATAACAATATTCGTTTAATCCGATTTTATAACGCTTTTGTTCTGAAAGAATAGAGTACTTCAAAAAAGATAAAAGATAAAAACTTAGTTAAAAAGAATAATTTTATTATATCATTCTCGACGATCACGACGACGACGACAACTTACAAAAGCACTGCTAGAACAACACTAAAATTTTACTATTTGAAACCAAGGAAAAGAGAAGAACACAACAACAACGTCAAAGCTGGGAACAGAAGCCAACAACAACTACATGAAAGTCCTTTGTTTTGTCTTCCATTTGTTAGATACTCGGGTAGTGTCCGTCTAGTTCCCTCAGGATGGAAACAAGAATCTCGGCAGACATAGGCTTCTCCGAGTACACATCGACTCCGGCTGCCAAAAACGCTTGCTTACCTCTTTCACTGAAGAAAGCAGAGACCCCAACCATCTTGCATCGCGTCCCCATTGCACGAATTCGTCTCGTAGCCTGCCATAAAAACAGATGAAGAAGCATAAAGCCATAAAACAATTTATTGCCGATGACAATGAGGTCGAATTTAGCACTCGAAGCAATGAGCTCAACAGCAGCATCACCGTTGTCGACACCTTGAGTTTCGAGTCCACAAGCTCGAAGAATTCCCTGCTCCACTACTCGGCAAAAATCGACACCGTCGACGACAAGAGCAGTCAACCTGTTCCTCAGAACAATGTCATTAAATGGAAATCGCTTAGGATTTGGTCGTCCTCCATTGCCCGAGTTAGCCCCGTCATATGCTGAAGGAAAGCCGGTGCCATTGATCACCTGAGATTAAAACATGTTATTTACGAGATAAAAAAAGGATTTGGACAAGAAATTGAAATAACAAGCAAAAACCAAAAGGGAAAAAAAACCAAACTTCAATAAAAACTGCTTTGTCTGAAACTATTCACTAATGAAGACAAAAGACAATGGCTATGTTTCCAGGAGGAAATGGTGTTTTGCTCGCTCACTATTTAGGAAGCAACTAGAGAACTGAACTGGTGTGAAAGCAAGAGGCTGCATATGCAGATAAATAGGCAGTAAAGGGTTAACAATCTTGGATTTATCTTCCACTTTCAGTGAAAAAATTCGCAGATTGAGACAAATGAATTACAAGCAATTTAATGTGTGAGATTCTAAGGAAAGTATTCATAGTTCATCATGTTTAAAATCCACTATTTACCAAGCTTTTTGATTTGGTTGCTGACATTCTATGTTATGGTGTTCGTATCTATTGTTGAAAATTTTCTACAATGTTACATACATGAATTCTGGACGATTGTTTCTACTGCGTAATTGCACGAGATAATGTCTATTTAACTTGATTTTATAACGCATTTTTCGGGGGGGGGGGGAAATAGACGGTAAATACTTAAAGAAAATAATCTTTGATTATATTCGATGACGAGTATAACAACCACCTTTTTTTTTTGATGAAATAAAGATGTAGGATTGCACCTAGTGTGCTACTGCCACATTACAATCAAAAGAATCCTGTTGTATTAAACTAAGTACTTCCGTGGTGGAGAATAGAAAACTGTCTGAACATCGCCTCTTGCTGCTGCTAACCTTGCTAGTTTATCTGCCACCTATTAAAAACACTACTAGGACAACACAAATTTTATTGTTTAAAGCTAAGAACAACAACAACAAAGCTGGTAACACAATTTTTTAAGGTAGCCAACAACAAGTACATGAAAGTCCTTTGTTTTGTCTTCCATTTTCTCAGTGAACACATCAACTCCGGCCGCCAGAAACGCTTGCTTATCTCTTTCATTGAAGAAAACAGAGAACCCGCCTAGCAATCTGCCATAAAAATAGATGAAGAAGAATGAAACAATTTATCATATGATCTACCGATAGATCAATAAAGTATTCTCATTTATCTGGACCGCATGGCCTGACCACAATACAAGCATTTTGCTCACAGCGACGGTTCAACAATATCCTTGATGGATGTGAGTCTAAAATGATTAACGGATGTAAGTGTAGATCAGAGTGGGCAAATACTCACTCTGAAATTTAAATTTCTTTCTGTCAGTTATCTATTTTATTGAGTGTGTACATCCTAAAATTTTATTTATAGTTTAATCTATATGAAAAGTTTTTAGATCCGCCACTGAACACGAGTCGAGAAAGTGAGAATAGAGTTATTTTAAACGATGTTTACCTCAAGCCAAAGTAGTTCTCTGGCTGCTTGCTAATAAGTGACCTACTCCATATCCTCTTGAGAACATAGATATAGTCTCTCTCTCTATTAGTGGATGGTTCGAGACAAACCAGTTTTAAATTTCTTGTAGTTAAAGTTATCCAGTTTTAAAATTTTGTTTTCGATTTTCGTTCTTCTTATCCAAATTTTCGATACAAGTTTCTTTATATAAGTTGTTGAATTAACTCAGAACATAGATATTGTATGTTATGGATTTGGTTTTTTTTTCCGATTGTTTAATCAAGTTTCTTTATGTTCAATGTTTGGCCTAAAGCTGTGTTGAGGGTTTAACCAGAGAACCGAACCAATTCGACTGAACTTGCATAGTTAAGAATATAAATTTCTCCAAAAACCAAATTTCTTTATCAAAAAACAAAGTTAAGAAAAATGGTGCTTACAACATGGGCATAACATTAGTGCAATTCCCTATTTGATTCCGCCAACAAAAGCACTCATTCTCCAAAAACCCAGCAAACTAAGAAATCCTTAAAAGAAAAACACCCCTTCAAATGCATTCACACGATATACAAAATGCACAACAATGAACAAGTAGACATGTCCCGAATCCGACCTCACTTGCTTTCTGCTAATCATGGGTGGCATCCATAGGGGTGCCGGTCCTGGCCTGTGAGATCCTATTGGCATAAATTGTAACCAGCCTCAACTGTGTGTTGTTAAGCCCCTCCAAGTGTGGCAAAAACGCTTTCCCCAGCATTATGTAGATATCCACCAAACAGAAAACGACAGTCTGCACCATCGATAATAACACGGAATGAAACATCAGGGAATCGACAAAAATATGGTAAGAATAATTTAGACGGATCAGTTCTTCCAAATGCAGCCTAAGAATTCACAAATATCAACATATAAAACATCCTAAATTTCAGACATTATTGTATAAAGAAAAATTTAAAAAGCATGAGTATTACCTTACGGACATCAGCACTCTGGTTTCCAAAAGCTTCGAAAAGAGCGGGCAAAAACGAGGGCAACTGAGCAGTTAGTTCCTCCTGTGACAGCCTGGCCACAAGCTGGATGGAAAAGGCAGAAAGCTTAAAACACTTAACATTAACAGAAAGGAAAGTAACGACAATTCCCAAGAATGCGATTAACTTTATAAAACCATGTTACATATCTGAACAAAGGATGGATGTTTATCCTGATTCAGGTTCAGTATACATTAATTTTAACAATTTTAGTTCCAATCAAGGCTCGGAATAAATACCTTTGTTAAACAGTTGATACAAATACCTAGAGTTTTCTCATCTTCAGCAACTAATAAAGGTACAATAACCTGCAATCCAAGTCAGTTCACAACATCAATACTTGTAATAACCTAAACCAAGAAGAAAAAGTGCCGAAGGACTCTCTTCATTTGCTGTACAGAAAAACAAGTCGGACATTCGAGAGAGAACCACATACGCTTAAACATCTGAATGGATCATACTGGGACAACACAGTGTTCAAGCAGTGCTCAGCTTCGTTTGACACCTAAATATGTGCAGACAAATTAGATGTGAAATGGGAGCAAGAACACACTCAAAGGACAAGCTCGTGGAAAGTAAATATACTTTTGGAACAGTATCCTTCATCACGTGAAGCAGCTTCTCAATTACTATTTCAACAGAATCTTCCATAACACCTTTCTGAATGCATGACAAGCCAACAAAAAAGGAGGAAACAAGCATTTACACGTTAGACAAAAGGAAAATCCAAGCAATGCCTCAAAATAATAGTATACTGAAATTATGAGCACACCTGGTTTTTAAGCATTTCGATTATCAATGACAGGTCAAGTTCTCGGATTGAGGAATCAGAATCATCTAAAACTTCAAGTACAACTGTCAAAATCTGATTGGCATACTACATAAAGACAACTAAATGTTACAAGTTGGTATGCAAGAAATATAGCAGAGCATATTTGACATCGCGGCCTGAGGAAAATATTCATTTGTAAGAGAGTTGTGGGGTTAGAAAACCTTCAAGAGAAGGGAATCAAATTTACACAAAAAATATTAAGGAAAGAAATATACCTTGGACCAAACAGAAATATCATTAGCCACAGAAATTTCATTTAATTGCTGAAGTGCATCGTGCTTGCTAACAGTAGGGCTCTCATCATTCCCATTGCAGATCTAAAATACAAAAGAAAGCATTTATAAAGTGTGAAGTTCGTGTAGCACAATAAGCACAATGAGAAGCCAAAATCCATTTTCTCCAAGCAAACTCGATAAAACAATAATCATCTGCAGATAAAACCAGGATAAACAAAACTCACCAGGTGAAGAAGTTGAGGAATGCTAGGCCCTGTGTCTGGCATAGAGCTAACCTTTATAGCTGCAGGTTTAAGATGATTAAGATCCAACTCTGATGAAGTCTCATTATGAGCAAATCCTTCAATTGTCCCCAAAGAGCCAGATCTACTCGGGCCATTAATTTCCAGATTTGGAGTAGATAGACCTTCCAAGTTGACACTAGTTTCTAAGTTCTCCATCTGGCCAGTTTGAGATTCCAAATTCTGATGAATAGAATTAACCATATAAGACCAGTCTTTGATTTTGGAAGGAAAAACATTGGTGTTTGAACTAGTCTCCAAGTTCTGATATAAGTTTTCCTGAGTTCCATCAGATGTTGCCAGGTCAATATTTCTAATGGTCGGGGTTAATTCCTGGGTGGAAACCCAATTCCTACCACCTTCACTATCAGCAGAACCAGCAGAATATCTTCCAAGTGAAAAACTCTTCTTCGAAACACCAATGTATCCTTCTTCAGATGATGTTCCAACAACATCAGATGGATCATAGGATGATTTAGAACGCTGTCTCTCTTTCCTGTTTTGCAAATAGTTAATTAGATCCACCTCAATGCGTGGAGTGTACTGTTTGAGTGCCCGTCTCAAGAAATTTTGTTCTTCAACTGATAAACTAAGAATAAAATTCAGAACAGCAGTAGGATCAAAATTTGAGTATATGGATATAATGCAAGTAATAGCTACATCCTTAAGCTTGGTATTTTTATCATGGACTAATGGTGTCAGTTTAGCAAGCAATAACTTCAGGATGCCAATATTACCAGAACCTTCGGAATTCATAGCATGTTTGTTGAAGGAACTAATACTGAACTCAATAACAGCTAATTTTGCCTTCGGTGAACGCTGTTCATCAAGGGAACGCAGCAAAGCAGGTAAGAGAGAATCTATGCTATAAGTTTTGCCTACAATTTCCAATGTCATTGAGCAAGGCTGCCTAACCAACTCCTTTGGATCAATTAACCGTGAGAAAACATGGGGTAAGATCCTTTCCATGTAACTCTCAAAGGGCTTTCGGCATGATGGAATGATATCAGCTAGTGTTGAAAGGGCAGCCTGTGCAACTTTATGGTGCGGATCATCCAAGTGATGGAAAAACAGTTTCATTACCTTCTCGAAGTTTTGAACCACTTCCTGAATACCTTTTGGGCCCTTCTGCAACAATGACCGGAGATAAGTAAAAGCAGCAACCCTTGCAGACCAATCAGAACTAGGACTAAGTCCCTCGCTTAGGGCTTCGCTGAGAGAAGCTGGACCTTCAACATAACTTGACATCTCTCCAAGTGACAGCTGACTATCATCAAAACTCTTTCTCCTTCCAGCAGGCACACGCCCAGCTACATGCTTTCTCGATAGTGGCCTCTGGAAGTTTGGAATACAATTGTTCTGTAAATCCCGAGAGTTTACATCTCTATAAGGTGTGTTCAAATATTGCTTCTCAATATGTGGACTTATAAAGCACCTGGCCTCCCTAATGTCACTGTTATCTTCAAAATAACCACGTTCTTGTCTTCTGGATGCCCTCTTGGCAGAATGTGATGTGAAAGCTGACAAAGACTCAGTTGTCACACTAGTCCTATATGATAACTTGCCTGAATCCTTGGAAGCTTGAATTTGAGTAATTATGTCAGACATAACCAGACCACCATTGCGGTTACTACTTTTACCGACAGTAGAGGTAGTGGAATCTAGTCCTAAAGCGCTTGCGAGCCTGTTAGAAGCTGGAACAACAGCAGGGAATGGAGGATCACGAGATGATGGAGGGTCCACTCCTGCACTAGTGAGCAAAAAAAGAGAAATTTAGCCGCTCACAATTGAATCGATTTTCTAATCGTTGCAGGCAAATATCACAGTAGATTGGAGTCGTGTAAATACTTGTAATTTTACTTGCTGTCAACTTCTGCATGTTAGTGGTAGTCAGTAGATAAGATGTAAATAGTCTTATCTTATCTAAGTTAAAGATAGAGGACTAACAGATAAGTGCTAGTCCCAATAGGCCTCAACATACTCGGCCAATAAGTAGGCTTCTTTGCAGTACAATTTCAATCAGAAAATTAAGAAAATAGAAACAGATTTCTCTTAGCCAAAAATACCTATTTTCTACTATATCAGCATCATTTAACGATGGCATAAGAAACTTTCAAGTTTAAATTAAGTAAAACATAGAAAACTCATTCAATACCTAGATCCCAACTTGTTGACCTCTTCTTTTCAGATATGTCCAGACCTCTAAGCATACTTTCAATAGCGCTGACTTTCTGTTTGCTTGCATGCAACACACTCTCCAGAGTACGGTCAGTACCTTTACCAAGGGGTTTTGGTTGGGATAGATTCAACCCAGATGTGAGAGGTGTCCCTGAGGATAAAGTTGAAGTCCTATCCATTGCAACTATAGCAGATGTTTGATATCCAGGTAGATGTGAACTGGCAGAATACTGAGAGGTAATTGGCATTTTAACATTTCTGTCGCGGACAGAAGGAGAAGCATGGCGCCTATGCATCCCTCCATCTTCTTCATTAATAATCTATGTAAAAAGTAAGAATTTAGACCACAACGTAGGAAACCTAATTATTCCAGAAAATATCTATCAAATATGGAAGCTATATCTACCCTTTGAATAACATGATCAAAAGAGGTGAACAAGCGACGAGAACGATCCGGCCAAGTTTTGGAGAACATTCTGTAGCACATTCTAGCAGTTGATCGTACCTGTTAAGCCCACAATAAGCTACTTATCTATCATCAAATTTTACAAAGGATCAAACAAGTATAAGAAAATAAATAAATAACATAAAGCTTTAAGAATTAGTTTTGCTACATAAGATTATCTTTTCAGATTACCCTATTTATGTTAAGAAACATAAGTCCATTAAAGATACCAAGTGAGGCATCAGCCATGAACCAGTTATGTTTCCAAGAGAGAAGCCAATCAACATAATCAACTTAAACCTTCAAATGGAGGGTTGACTGCATGACTATGTACTACAACCATATATCAATATCAAAAAAAATAGAAGCAAGTCGCGATATAGATACCTCACTCATTGCATCTGCAACACAGCACCTAATCAGATCCTCATATAAATCAGCCGATCTCTGTATTTCTGGTTCATCAGGCCAATGTTCAAGTATCAACAATGCATATTCACAACACCTGCAGTTAGGATATAAAATTTGAATATAGAAATAACAAATAAATGACTTCATCAAAAAATTAAAATAGATGAATACCTGGCACGGAGTACAGCACTACGGTCATTCTTTGCACAATCAGCTATACGGGGAAGCACACGGGCAACTTTGCAGTTACGCAACATCTACAAGTTAGGAAAGATATCATAAGAAAATAAAACAAAAAGTGAAGGGAAAATCGAAGGGGAGATGCAAGAAAAATCACTGTTTTTATGCAGCTATCTGCGGACTCTGCAATTACAAGCACGGTAATCACAACCAACTTGAAAAGGACCTGCTTATCATAATATGAAATTAACAAGTGCATGTGAGAATATAAATGTCGATATGCTACACATGAAAGTTGAACTTACTGGGATGAATTGCTCAGCACATGCCTCAAAATCTCCCAAGAGCTCCTTCGATAAGAAGCATAACAAATGACAAACCTGGAATAAGGGAACTCTCAGAATCAACTACACATACAAAGCTATAAAAGCACTTATAGGACACGAAAGTAAACAATTGTCTAGAACCCAACCACCACAATTATACAGTCCCAAGATTTCTAGTGGTCATTGTAAAAAAATTCAAGAAAGTCAATATGGGACGGACGGGTTTGATGATTGGTCCATGACATGTTCCCTATCATTTAATCATTTTCTAAAACATATATGTTCTAAATAAATAGCAATATTGGCAAAAGCCAAGAAAAAAAATGAAAGAAAAAACTCCAGTGATTGAATAATTCTGAAAATCAGTAAAATATAGAATGTTTTGGTATTAAACTTAATTTTGAAAAAAAGGAAGTATTTAGAGATTAAAAAAACTTAAAAAATGCATTTGACAGAACAAAAAAGTATCTCAGTGCTAGAATAAGCACTATTAGTTCAGAGCCGCAAAACAAACTATAAACACAAAGAATATACCTCTCCTAAAATGTTTAAAAAGAATGCAAAAAGAAAAAAGTCAGAACCAGAAAATACAAGAAAAAAGGTAGGCACCTGCTTCACAATGCTTGACCTCCTATCTAGTAACTGTGTATTTAGTGGTCCAACAAGCTGCTTCAAGAGTCCCCGGAAACATGGATAATCAGCAGCACCTGATTATTCACAGTAGCCTTACTTGTTAAACCCCCAGTTCTCAACCCATAAATTAAAAAGGAGGAATAAGGCATATAAATATGGAATTTGACAGCAAATAGGCCAAATAACATGGCAACTTTGCAGAAGTCAAAACCAAAGGGAAACAGGTTAAAGGAAAGGGATAACAAAGGAATTTATTACATGAACTTCGGCATCCCCTTATATACCTAAAAAAAATTTGACTTTAGTATGCATGGGTTTGCACTTTGCAGAAGTCAAAACTAAAGTGAAATAGGTTAAAGGAAAGGGATAACCCGCGAACTTATTACATGAATTTTGGCATCCCCGTATATACCTAAAAAAATCTGATTTAGTATGCATGTGCAGGTTTTTGATAACTGAAAAGGCAGAATATTTTGATAACTGTTTGGATAACAACAGTAACTCAATAATTATTTAACAGTACACATAGAAATCTATAATTCTTTAATAGTAGACAAATATTCTAGAGAAAGAATGGTGGGATGTTTGACGAGAGAGGATAAAAACCTCCAGAAACAAGGCCTTCAACTCTCTGCATGGCAGCAATGCGTACGGACCAATCTTTTTCTGGCACAAGAGTAGAAGCAATTTTCTCAAATTCCCTTATTAGTTCCTTATCTGAGTAAATTTTAATTGGATCTATTGGTTTTCCAGTAATGTCACTTTCCCCTGTAAAAGAAAAAAAAGTCACTTTAGTAACAACTAACTTGTTGAACCATGATTTGGGAGCAAGCACCATATATTTGAGAAAAGTAACCAAATTTGAAGTAAGATTGTTATATGCAAAGGCCAGCATATCATGAAAACCATCCTAAACTCCTATTTTGAAAAAGAAAATAATAATTAGCTAGACAAAACCAAACCTCCAAAAAGTGATGTTTCCCTCGAAGAACTCTTGGCTCTTGGACTGCTTTTCTTGGGATTGCGTATTGCAGCCTTTATCTCTCCAGCAGCAAAACCACCCAAATCTGAAGATCTAACTTGTGGCTCAATTTTCTCTAGTCTGGCATTGATATCTCTCATCTGCAAATTATATGCTACCTTGTAAAAAAAACAAAGACTGAAACAGCAATACCTTTGTTCTAGAAGGCAGAAAAAATAAATAAAAGACTGAAGCTACAGTATGATATTTTAAAACTAAATATTAACCATAGATCCAGGAAGCTGATGGCGATGAAGTTCATCACGAAATTGAGTTCCAGCTTGAGTATACATTTCCTGGAAAGAAAATTATCTGATCAGAATTTTGCCACCAAATATGAGAACCTTTAATGTATGACACGTGAAATCTCCAAGAGCAATTTGCAAGAATAACAACAGAAGTGAACCTAACACTCTCAGTTACTGTAACACTTATTAAACTATCCAAAGCAGCAATAATAAAGACAGAAAATAACCCAACCAAAACTATTAATGACCTATATTTTTCAATAGAAACATGACACCTTTCATAATAACTCACATTAATACCAATCCAAGGAGCAGACAACACAAGTGCAAACACTCTATATTGAATATTAAATATTCGTGAACATGAATATGAAAAAAATTGCAAAAAAAACTTGAGTGACAAGCAACTTAAATTGAGATGGTTTCTCTTTGTTTAATCGTTAAATATAATTATCATGGGCAATAAAACAAATTTCAGATTCCTATGTTTATGTCCATTGATTTTCTCATTCTAATTTCCATCCTCTAAAGGCATGTAAAAACTTATTATTAGGAGCTCAGCATGTTTTTCTATAACTGAGAAGCAAAGGAGCTGCCTCTGATATAAGCCCATATTTCAGACTATTAGCTGTATGTTCAAGTATGGTGAAAGTTCTAACAAACAATGGATTAAAATTTCAATATGACTACAACAAAAACAGAACACAACAAATCAGATTTCAATTGAAGACAATAAAATTCTTCCTTCACAAGAAAGAAACGTTTCACAGACCTCAATGCACAATATAGCAGCTTCACGAACACCAGGATTTGAGTCATTCAACAGCTGCAAAATCTGATAAAGGAATTTATATGTCAGCTAATCTCTCTCACGTTTCATGAGGAGACAGTGAAAATCCATTTTGGAATATGTTAATGAGCATACAGGCGGAAGAATTGCCCGTTGAAGTGGAAGTTCAGTAGATGCAAAAAGATTGATGGATGATGTGACAGTCCGGGCAAATTCCTCTCGAACTCTCCAACTTCTATGTGTCCAGGCATAAGAGCCAGCTCTTTCAACGATAATTGTCGGAGAAGAAACCTGAAACAATATATGTATATACACACACATTTCATAAATCAAACAAATTCTTTACCACACAGCCTAAAACATTAAAGCGTCCCAAACTCAACAAGGAACTGGTAAGTTTACCTCCATTAGAGTGAGCAGCAGGCGTCTGGCAGCGTCTCTAACAGGCTGTTTGGCGTCACCCAGCCGTTCAACAACCGCGGGAACAAGAGCGTTGAAGTGCAACTTCAAGTGATCACCGGAGAGAACGGCGGCGGAAGCAAGAGCCTGGAGAGCTCCCTGGGAGACTCTAAAGTTGTTGTCCTTGAGGAGATCCAAGCAACAGTCAACAAGCGAAGTGACTTCCGAAGAAGTGAGACTCTTTCTAGAGCCTTCAAGGAGTTGGTAGAGCCGCTCCACCGCCGCCATTCGCTCCTTGGTGTCTTTGGCACGTGCTAACTCCAGTGCCTCCTCCATCAATATCCCGATCCGGCCGGACCTTACACAGATCTGAACAATTGGTTAACCAATTCCAACAATTTGAAATTCGAAAAAAAAATAAAGTGGAAACGTGTTTGACGATAGCGGAAAGGATTAAATTGAGGGGAATGATAATGGCTTTTATAGCAAACAGCCAAATACAGATTTAGCGGACAAGTGCCCCTTTTTTTTCCCTCGGGAGAAAAGGAATAGAGGGAGAAGAATGGAAGACACAGAGAAATTAGTGAAGTGGACTGAGATCTATGGAGAACGGGAGAAGATGAGGATGGTGTGTGGTTAAGCTTGAAAAAAAAAGGTAAAAATCCCTCTTAAGTACCTCTTAATTTTTTAATTCCGACAAATTCGACCCTCTAAAAGAAATAAGCAATTAAAGCAATTAATTTATACGGTTAGTTCTTTAAGAAAACTAAAAATGTTAATGTTTTTCATTATTTTTATGTAATCTAAATTCAAATAATACTAAATTTGACCTTTAACTTTATTTATTATATTAATTTAATCATAATTCTTAAAAGAAAATATGAATAATATCTAAACTGGTTTAATAATAACTAAAGACATTAATCATATAATTTTTCAAGGTTTTTAAAGGGGAGAGATATGAATTTTTTATATAAATTATTTTTTTAATAATATATTATTTAATTTTTTTCAGATCAATTTGATTACTCATACTATTGTTGGATTGCTAACTCATTTAACAAAAAAAATTAAAGTATTATTCATCAAAAAGTCGTTAAAATTTTCACCATATTTAATATCATAATTTCGAGTGTATATATTTAATTTTAATCTTAAAATTTTATCTTCGTAGTATATTAATAGTGTTGGGATCATTTCTTTTACCCTTTGTACACCAAGAAAAGCTATAGCGTTGATAGGTTGGGAGGGTCGTCCTCACCTCTGCAATACTCGATATGAATTAATCGATCAATAAATCAGACATCAGTGATTAATTTAAAATAATAATAATAATAATAATAATAATAATAATAATAATAATAATAATAATAATAATAATAATAATGGTGCTACTTAGAATTTTTATTAAGAGATTTCTTATTCATTGAAGAAAAGTCTTCAAAGTAAAGTTGTCATGCACTCGATAAATGTCTTGATATGTTCAATATTATATTCACATGATGTTTACATTTGATAAAAGGCTTTTCTTTTATACTCAGAAATGTTATAAAAACCTCTTCGACTCTTCGTGAATTTGGCCCAAAAAGATTATTATGAAGTTTTAAATTAAATTTATAAAAGCCAGATGTACTACGTATTTTCTTTTTAGATTGGTATTTAGATTTTTGAACATTTTAATTTTATTCTCAAGCTATGATTTTTATTTTAAATTGATCTCTACAATTTTAAACATTACAAATTCATCTATAATATATGACTATCGTTCTAAATTGGTTCCCAAACTTTTGAACAATCTAATAATATTCCCGAAAATCATTCAAAAGTTTAGTAATGAAATTGAAACATTCAAAAGTTTGAAGATCGATATAGAATGAGGGTCATAGTTTGGGGATGAATTTGGAATGTTTAGAAATTTAGGAATAATTTAGAATAATAGTCATAATTTAAGGATGTGTAATGCAATTAACTCAATTTATAATAATAACAATTATTATTATTATTATTATTTTAATGCAAATAGAAGTCAACAGTTTTATTAAAGAAGAGATAATATACAATATTCCAATGAACATATAATTAGTACATATCCCTATAATCATTAACACAAGATACTAATAATTTGAGATTATTTAAAGATCATACAAATAAAATATTAAAAATCCATATAAAAAACTTGAATAAAAAATATATATGAATAGATATGATTGCGTGGGTAAATGAACCACAACATTAAATTAAACTATTTAAAGTAGGGTTGTAAATGAGACGAGACAGATCGCGAGTTATTCGATATCAACTCGATCAAGGCTCGATAAAATACCCGGATCGAATGGACTCGAGCTCGACTCGAGTTCTTAATGAGCTGAAACGAGCTACTTGATATTCGACTCGAAAAGTTCGTGAGCGACTCGAAAAGCTCGTGAGCAGCTCGAAAACATAATATATTAAAATTTTATTTTTAAAAAAATAAATGATTAATAATTTTAATATTTATGTATTGATTTTTTTAAATACAATAAGATTTTCATGTATTTAATATTCAAGTTCGAGTTTAAGGCTTCAATCGAGTTAAGTTTAAGATTTTTTTTCTTTTCGAGCCGCTCACGAGCTTCAGTTCATGATTTCGAGTTCGAGTCGAGCTTGAAAATTTTAAGCTCGCTAGTTTTCGAGTCGAGTCGAGCTTCATTTTCGAGTTTTCGAGTCGAGTCGAGCGTCTTGACAAAACTATATTCGAACGCAAACCATGTATCCAAATCCAATTCAAGAGTCCAAAACATGAAATATCATCAGGATAATAAATAAGTGTCATCTTAATCAATCGATACATTCTCAAATCTAGTCATGAGAAAATTAAACGGAAAAAAAATAATTAAAACACCGAAAACGTACCAAAAAAGAAAAGACAATCTATCATAAAAACAAACAAAAATGTGATTTTATAAAATTGAACCCAAAAATTTAATACCGAACAAAACTAAAATAATATCTCTTACCAATACATAAATTTGATTAATATAATTTAAGATCCTTATGGGGTGTTTGGATGGGGGAATGTGAGATTCTCATGGGAATGGAATCCACATTCCCCCGTTTGACTAACCCGTGAATCTCATTCCTGGTAATGTAAGATTATTAATAGTGGGTTTTTTTGGGTATATTACCGGGAATGTCATTACCTCTCTTTCCTTAGGTATTGTTGGATTACCGGCGTTTTAGACTAAAATGCCCTTAATTTTTTTTCTTAAAAAATATAATTCTTCTGTCATTGAATAATAAAAATTCTATGAAGGTTAAATTACAAATTTATCCTTAAACTATTTTAGATTTACCAAAAAAGTCTATAATTAAAATTTTATATGAAGTTAAGGGGTTAAAATAAAATTTTACCTTTTTATTAAACCTTTTTATATTTTCAATTTTGTAAAAGAAATTATATAAATTTTATAAATTTAAATTTTTTAAAGAAAATATATAAATATTTTCCAACTTGTTAAAAAAACAAATGTATAACAAGGATAATTTTGTCAAATATACATTTTAATAATCTTTTATTCTTTTAACCAAACACGGTAATCTTACATTCCTGTTAAGTCAACCAAACACGAAATACAACATTCCCAGTAATCCTATCCCTTCGTAATATTACATTCCCACTGGTAATCTTACGTTCCGTGAACCAAACACACCCTTAATTCTTTAATAACGTCAATGAAAAAATTGAAAAATAATGAAATACCTCCAAAACTATCCCACATCACAAGCACATTGCATACTACTTTAAGAAACTAATTTGATTTTGATGGAACATAAATATATTATTAAATTTAAGATTCCATTAATAATTTTAGGATTATTTATGTATTATCCGCTAAGGTATGAGTGATAGACTGATAGATAATCAACTTTGGTACAACAAATCTCTAAGTTTGATTGATGTGAAGACTAAGTTGTATGAAACTTAAAGTTATATCCCCTCGATGTTAAATGCAAAGCCATTGGCTTAGAAATTTATGCATTGAACTACCTTTTCTTTTTGTCTTTAATTAACCGCAACACGTGCTTATCACGTATTCGCTTATCCTTTTAGGGGAGTTAATTTTACTATATGTCCTCAAATTATGATTCTCTTTCTAAATTGATCCATAAACTTTTAAACAATTTAATTTCATCCTTAAATTATGAATTTCATTCTAAATTGATCCCCAAATTTAACTTATGAAATCAAATTTAAATATAAAAAATATATATTTACCTTAAATAATAGTTCAATTTGAATCGATACAAATTAAAAGTTAGGCATAACGATAAAATTAATCCCTTGACGTTTGTACAAGTTGTCATTTTGAGAGCTATTATTTTTTGAGCATTCTAGTCACTAACATTTTAATTTTTGATCAAAATAACACATATTGTATGGAAACCATTAGTTAATCAACGAGTAATACATGTTGCTGACATGACATTTTTGCATGGCTTAATTAGTGATTTAATACATATAATGTTATCATTTTGGATGGCGTGACACATGTCATATATCATTTTATGTGACGTGACACATATTACATCATCAATTTATATGACATGACACATACCATGCATTATTTTGTGGAATGTGATACATGTCACGTCTTTATTTTAGTGAAGTGATATATGCTACATCATCAGCTCGAGTGATATGACATGTATTATATGAATAGTTAAACACATGTGAATATTTTTGCCAACTAATAATTTTCATTTAATAATGATTGTTTTGATTAACAATTGAAATATTAAGAGTTAAAATGCTCTAAAATAGAGATCAACGTGATTATTTATATCAACGTTAGAGATTAATTTTATTATTATGCCACAAAAAAATTGTAAAGAGATCTGGATACCAAGCAAACTTATTGAACTTAGAGAGTGAATAGTTGAACTATTTGGGGTGATATAGTCTATTATACAAATCATAGTGAATGGAGGTTCATAAAGGAATTAGATTCAAAGCAGACATGATTTGATTGGGAAAAAGTAAATATATAAACGAGAAAAGCCTAACTTGTTGATAAAGCCAAGTAGCCAAGCCAACAACCCCTTTTGGACGTATCTCAACCTAATCATTTCTTAATTCATTGATTCAATCATATCTTTATATTCTCATAATTAAATTAATTAATGGCTAGAGTCGTAAACCATTATTACTCACCCAACTTTAGTTTTAAAAGGTGTTTAATTTCTCTGATTTAAGCTTGAATTCACGAGTAACTCCAATTGTGAAACGATTTGGATTTGAGTATACAAAGAAGGAGTCAAACTGAGTTGAGTTGTTGGATTAACTGGATAAGTGAACCGTTGAGTATGTTTGTTGGTCGTTGGACTTCCGGCACACATGCTCCTTTCCTGCTCCGCATGGCTTACTCGGCCTAAGGTACGGTACCGGTAACAAGGACCCGTCGGCATCCTAATTAGTATAACCTCTGTAATTGTATTCAACATTTTGTTGACAAGTAAAGAATCGATTAGACTAATCGTATTGAAATTTTTTGTTTTAACATCTTATAATATCTACCTTCGATGTACATTTAGACACGAGTATATATTTTTATTCTCAAAATATAAATGTTTATCAAGAGGATTTTTAATATTCGAAAATG